ATTAAACCTACAGATCAACAAACAGAGAGTGGGCATCTTAACTATATTGAGCCTTCTGATATATGAACACGGCAAAAATGTTTAGGGATTTTAAAATTCTTCACAGCAACTTTTGTAGTATTCAGTGCAAAGGTCTTATACATTGATCATTAGATTTATTCTGAGGTATGTGACTTTTATGCTATTGTAGATAGCATTCTTTTAATTTTCAAGTGTTCATTGTTAATATAGAACTGCAGTTTTATCATTATTATTGAACTTCTAACCTGTGACCTTTCTAAATTCACCTATTAGTCCAAAATTAGTTTTGAAAATTACACAGGATTTTGTAAATATACAACGATTTTTCCTTGTCTCTTAATCATTTTCTTGCCTTTTTGTATTAACTAGGGCTTCTACTGCAATGTCAAATAAAAGATTGCCTTCTTGGGCTTCCCTGGTGGCACAGTGGTTGAGAGTCCACCTGCCGATGCAGGGGACACGGGTTTGTGCCCTGGTCTGGGAAGATCCCACATGCTGTGGAGCGGCTGGGCCTGTGAGCCATGGCTGCTGAGCCTGCGAGTCCAGAGCCTGTGCTCTGCAACGGGAGAGGCCACAACAGTGAGAGGCCCGCGTACCGCAAAAGAAAAAAAAAAAAAAAGATTGCCTTCTTTCCAATCCTAAGTGAAAAGGAGGGCTTCCCTGGTGGCGCAGTGGTTGAGAGTCCGCCTGCCGATGATGTAAAGGTACTTCCCTGGTGATCCAGTGGTTAAGACTCTGTGCTTCCACTGCAGGAGGTGCAAGTTCGATCCCTGATCAGGGAACTAAGATCCCGCATGCCGTGCAGTGCAGCAATACTGAAAAAAAAAAAAAAAAAAAACTGCTCTAAGTGAAAAGGATTTAATATTAAACCATTAATTATGTTATTAGCTATTAGATTTTCATAGATGTACTTTATCAAGTGGTGGAATTCTATTTCTAGTTTGCTGGAAATTTTTAATAAGAATGTTCTATTTTGTCAATTTTTTTGTGTCTGTTTTTCTCCTTTATGTTAATGTGGCAAATTATATTGCTGGAATAAACCCCACTTAGTCATGCTATCTTTTTTTTCATTGCTAAGTTCTATTTCCTATGATTTCATTAAGTATTCTTAACATCTATATTCATGAGAGATAGTAATCTTTTTCTTTTCTCATATTTGTCAAGTTTTTTTTACCAGGGTTATGCTGGCTTCATAAAACAAGTTGAAAAACTCTATTTCTTGAAAGAATTTGTGAACTTAATATTATTTTTAACTTAAATATTTGACAGAATTCAACAGTGAAATAATCAAGGCCTGGAGTTTCTTTTGGGAAAGATATGTAATTATAAACTCAAAATTTTAATAAATATGGAGCTTTTTTTAGATTTTCTTTTTCTATTTGCAACACTTTTGACCAGTTACGGTTCAAGAGGCTTTTGTCCATTTCACAAGTTGTTGAATTTATTGGCATAAACTTGTCCATAACATGCTCTTCCTATCTTTAATGTCAATAGGCTATGTAGTGATGTCCTTTTCATTCCCAATATTAGTCGTGTTTTCTCTTTTTTATTTTTATTTTTTTAAAGCCTCCTAGGATGTCATGACAAGTCACCATAAAGAGGGTGGCTTGAAACAAAAGAAATTTATTTTCTCATATTTCTGGAGGATAGAAATCCAAAATCAAGGCTCCCTCTAGAGGCTGTAGCGAAGGATCCTTCCTTGCCTCTTCCTAGTTTCTGGTTACTGGCAATCTTCAGCATTCTTTGGTTTGAGGCTGCATTACTCTAATCTCTGCCTCTGTCTTCATTTGGTCTTCTTTTCTGTTTCTTTGTTTCTATGCAGTCTTCTTATAAAAACACAAGTCACTGGATTTAGGGGCTCATTCTAATCTAGTATGATCTCATCACAACTAATTACATCTGCAAATGTCCTATTTCCAAATAAGGTCACATTCTGAATTTCTGGATGGACATGACTTTTGGGGGAATACTATTCAACACAATGTATTAGCCTTGCTAGGTGTTTATCAACTTTATAATTTCCAACACCTCACTTTTGATTTTGTTGATTTTCTGTTAATTTCCATCAATTCTGCACAAGATCTCAGTCAATATCTTTCAAACATTTCTTCAATACCATTCTATCCTCTTCTTTTGAAACACAATTATAAGATTAAGACCACTTAACTTTGTCTTCAAAACTCAGATAGTCAATTCTTTTTATTTTTTTCTGATTTCCAGTTTTTATACTTTCAATTGCCCTGTCTTCAAGTTTATCAATCCTTTCCTCTGTGTAGTCATATTATATTCTAGAATTTTTTTGTTTTTCAAAATCTACATGTCTGCTGAAATTCTCCTTCTTTTCATGCATGTTTTCCACTCTTTTTATTAGCTCCTTCAGCATTTCTATCATAGTTATCCACCTCTGATAACTGCAACACCTGGGCAATCTGAGTTTGCTTTTATTGACTATTTCCTGTCTGGATCAAACTTTTCTGCTCCTTTGCATGTCTTTATAATTTCTTACTGTATGCTATATATTTTCTATAAAAGAACAGTAGGTGTAAAAATAATAGTTGCCTCTCAAAAGGGTCATGCCTGTTTTTTTGTCACGTTTATAGAATGGGAGGCTGAGTTAATACGATTTGCAGTTGAGGTGGAGATGAGCTTTGCTGTTGTTCTAGTTTGATTCACTTTATTACTTGCTTCAAACATTTGAAGTGAACAGGATTTCCTTTCAGCAGGGATTGGGATCTGGTCATTGTGAGATTCTACTGGAACCTTTGTGCTTTTCAGTTGAGCTGCCAGCTATCCAAACATGGGGAATTTCCCTCTGCACTACATTCCAACTGCATATTTTAGAATTTCTGAGGCATTCTCTTTATACTCCGATCAGGCCTTCTGAGTAGGTGAACTCTCAGGTGAACTCTATTTCAGATTACCATGCCTTTTGGAAGATACAACTGTTTACATTGTTAAGACCCATAATGCCTCAGAAAGAGTTTTCCTTTGTTTTAGGTCTATTCTACATTCTTGTCTTCTTAATAAATGAGTATGCTGTTTCTAAAACCAGCACTCTGGCTGGTTGAAAAAAGGCAAGATTAAGGACAGTAATCCAACATTTACTCAGCTTCATTTCACAGTGAATCTGTACAGAACACTGCACAAGAGACAAGAAAAGTTGTCTTTCTCATTCATAAATCCATTGCGCATTTACAATATGACACTATTCTAGAAATATACAATATAATCTTAGGAATTAGGATACATAAAAACAGAGTTCGTAAATTGTTAGATCTTTAGTTTGGTATTCTAAAATCTGATTAAAAGGGGACTAGTTCGGGCTTCCCTGGTGGTGCAGTGGTTGAGAGTCCACCTGCCAATGCAGGGGACACAGGTTCGTGCCCCCGTCCGGGAAGATCCCACATGCCGCGGAGCAGCTGGGCCTGTGAGCCATGGCCGCTGAGCCTGCGCGTCTGGAGCCTGTGCTCCGCAATGGGAGAGGGCACAACAGTGAGAGGCCCGTGTACCGCAAAAAAAAAAAAAAAAAAGTGGACTAGTTCAAGCTCCTATATGTGATTCTGCCATCTCCTAAAAATCTTGTTGTCATCAATATACAAATGGTGTAAAGAGAAAAAACTGGGAAAGAGCATTCCTGTTTTTCAAAACCTTAATATGAAAATAGCAAATAGCATTTGTTATTTGCTAAATAGCATTTCATTTACATTTCACTGGTTAAAATTTGGTCTTACGCCTATACTTAATTAAAAGGGAAATGCAGTCTTGCTGTGTGTCCAAGGACATAGGAAATATCTGCTAATTTTGTCAGCTTAAAACCTCCTATTCTTAAAGCCAAACATTCAAAACAAAATTGATCGAATTGAACTACCTTAACCGTTCATCCAAGCTACTATATCTGACAGCGCTGGCAAGGCATATTTTGAGGTAGGATATGGTTGTCTTCCACTAATTCAGCCTTAAGATGAGGGATAAAGGCACATTCAAAAACCTCTTTATTTATAATCCCTTTCTGAATTTATTCATATTTTCAGCCCATGTTGTTTCTAAAGGTAAAAGTTAAATAATGGAATTAAAATAATATCCAAGTAATATTTTTTGTTTTAAAATAATTTAATGTTGCTAGTATACCTCTAAGTCTAATATTCTAGTATGGATGTACAAGTCCATGTGCTTCCCTGTGCCATCTCCCCCACACATAATTTATAATCTTATAAACTTTGATTCTATCAATTTCCCTCTTACCATACCATGGTCCTTCACAACTTGGAATTACATTTCCTTGAGGGACAGCAATCAGGACTAGATGCTGTTTCCCAGATGTGGTTGCACCATGATTTTCAGAGGCATGATAAAAATGTTTTATGGTTTGTACTGACAATTTTTTTCTAGTGATGCCAGATTTCAATCAATGTTTATTGAAATGTCTCCCATGTTCACTGTTGCTTGAAATAGCTAAACAGTATTTTATTCCATTTTCTCTCTTATGAGTCCAGAAGTCTTCAGAAATATTATCTAGAGTCCTATAACTAGCAACCTTTTCATAATTGAGATCTACATTTCCACCATATAACCATTTTTCCTAAAATTGCTCCCTCTTACACTTTAAACTTTTTCTTACCATCTTTTATTCTGGCTATGGACCCAATTCTTCTAAAAAGATAAACCTTGTTAATCTTCGTCAGAGATTCTTTTCCAAACCAGTTTGCCACTGGGCACTTCCAGATGAGCATTTTCTTCTTTTGAATTTTATCTGGCATCTGTAAACCATTCTCTATCTGCACAGATAGGGATCCAAGTAGAAGCTATCCAATCACTTGCGTGACCAGAGAGAAAGAAAATTAGTTTGGTAGATGCATGTATCACAATTATTCTGTACCTAGTTTTTCTGGATTGCTGATATTGTCCTTTAGAATTTGGGTTGTATAATATAAAGATCACATCCCATTAAAAAAGGCTCACCATCTGCCTGTTCAAGGCTACTTTTTCAAGTAATTATAATTTGCTATAAATGAAAATCTTCACTCTTGAGTGCAGTTTGAGGTGACTTTTATTTTAATTATACTTACTGTTATTCACAAACTTCTCAGACTTGTGTAGGAACACTAACCATTGTCTTATGCAAAACACAACTGCAGTAAATTTACCTATAGCTACTTTTCTCATTCATTAGTAATTAAAATCTCATATCAGAGACTAAGCTTCATGAAACTATCACAAGCATGTGTATAGACCAGTTAGCATACTATCTGGCCTTGTGGCAGGAATCAAATCAGTATCTACAGAATCTCTTGTGCAAAGCTTAAGCAATAAAAGTGCTCACATGAATTCAGGTCTGCTTCCCTTTAAAGTTGGATTCCAGACAAAATAAATTTTATAAAGACTATAAGAAATGTATTAATATGGTAAAACTATTACTTCAACACCCAATTTTAAAGGAGCTGTTGAGCACTGCTAATTATTTGGGGTCCTAAAACATATCTGACATAAGTGCTCCAAGGAAAACATGATTTGTAATGTTTTTAAAAATGTGAAAAGCTGAATTTTGCAGACTGCTTGGTGCACTTCTGGTTGTTTCTCTTAAAAAAGTAGAAAAAAATCTACAATTTTGTAGTCCTTTGGTTTTATTTTCTGGGATAAAAAAGTATAGGCATAAATGTTTTTTCACGGTCCTCTTGAAGATATCCTTTAAAACAACATCAAATGGCTTAATTCATGTCTCTTGATTATCAGGATTCTTTGATATCACTGTCAGCCTTGATTAACTGGTTGAAAATTTCAGAGCAGAATAAGTAACTTTCATGACTATTTCCCCAATCCCTGAGAATCATAATCGCCATAGGTATATTTTGTCCTTTCATCATACATCTCTGGAAAGTAGCCGTGTTCGTTCATTGTTAATAGGGCAAGGAGCAGTGTCATAGAGGGTTAATCCGTGTAAAGTGGCTTCTACCCGTAAAGAAATTTTCTGGAACAGAAAAGAACATTACATACAGAAGTTTTCTCCTTAAAGACAGATCACATGTTCAATATTTTCTGAGGAATACCTTTTGGGATTAGGAATGTAGATCAATTCTAATGAGTAACAAGAGAGAGACAGCTGTTGTACTGCTGTAGTACCAACAGAAACGGGAAAAATAAGCTTCTTTCCTCAGAAGTTCCTTGGTGTTCTTTGGTTTCTATGAGGAATCGGTAAAACTAAATGTTGAGGATGGCCTATGTAAATGTAGGCAGAGTTGATAAAAGTTCTCTGAATTTCTGCAAATTCAGTTGTTTTACAACCCTATTTTCAGGACTGGACCTTGCTAACAAAACACTATTTCTTGAAACACAGAAACAATTCACCTGAGAAGTTCCTCTTCCAGCATCACTGCTTAAGAAGTTAATTTTCGAAAAGGCAAGAGTTGCTATAGAAAGCTTTCTTATTCCACCTGAAGGAGGTTTGACTGCATAAATCTAATTCTACATTTTCTTACCTGAAAATCACGAATATAAGTCAGGAAAAAACCAAAGAAGGAAAGTGACATAGACCATTCTGCTGCAGTAGTGATCATGTGAAGCACATAACCCTTAAGTGACAACAAAAAAAGAATAATTCTATGAAATTTCATTCAAATGATCTATAATTTTTCTCAAATAAAAAACCTGTAATATTTATAAACCAATCTGCATTCTGAATATCAACCCCTGGTTTATTTAACATAGCTCTAGAATTAAAGGCAGACATTAGAAAAAGTCCTAAATGATCTATCATAGTTTCATCCACAGCAAATAAAATTTTCATTTGAATAACTAAGACAGGAGAACTTCTACTCTACAACCAAGAAGTTACTACCTTTCCCAAAGCCACAAGTCATTAAATGCCACTAAAAAGTTTAAGTAAACGATGCTCATGATAAACTTAGTGCTATTTTTTGAGCATTAAATAATATATGGATTCTAATTAGGAGAACCTAGTAAATTATTTCATTTAGTCATTCTCACAAACATGTCCTATCTAGGGCTGAGTCTTTAAAAATAATTAAAAATAAAATGCCACCTGAGTGGTTTGTGAAAACAGATGAACTCATTTTATTACCTATTCAAGTATATGTCCCACCTCGCTTTTTCTCAGTATCAGAGATGCTATGTCCATTCAGATATCCACTATATTGGAACCCAAATGCAGAGTCCATAATAATAAACTTCCAGATAACAAAAAGTAGGAAAAGAAATTTTTTTCAATTCAGAAAACAAGTATTCTACTAATAAAAGATTTCAGTCAGGTATATTGCATACTATATCCACCTTTAGAGGAGTCAATTTCTGAGAAAACTCTGACATCACAATTCTCTTCAGATTTTGAAAATGTTCACAAGACCACAAAGTGACAGGAGAATGTGGATGGTTCTACATAAACTCTATCATTTATAGAAAATAATCGTAAGACATCACTGATTTTTCTACTGAAAAACTTTTGTTAGTAGTGAAATGAAAAATACATCAAAATCAACCAAAACAGTCATCTTTACTATAAAACTAAGTTTTATAGGCTCTCAGTTCTTACATTGTCCTCAGGATTCCAATGGAGTTTCTGTACTATATCAGTGCCAAAACTGCCACTGTACAAAAGTGATGAACAAGTCAGCACTGTAAAAAAAGTCAAGGAAGAATCTCAGGGAAGACCTGTAAGTTTAATTTAAAACAAAACAAAAATCTCTTTAAAGATCTAAAAGGATTACACATACATTTGTTTCCAAGGTTCAAACCCATTTTCTTGAAGACTTCATGTTACATGACAGTAGTAAAATTTAAAATGTGCCCAGAAGATTACTATGATGCATAGTCAGTCCCTCTTTGCTCAATAATTTATTAGTTCTATCATAAGCTTTTGCGACATAATTATTCTCAAGGAGGGCACTAACTAATCCTTCCTGTCTTTAAAGTAAGCATGATTAGGCTAGACATTATCTTTGTTTCTACCTCAGTCACTAGGTCCCATGTAAAAATTTGAATTTCACGTTTCAAATTCTTTAATTTAGGGTTTACTAAACCCAAGAATATCACCCACAAAAGGCCTACTTACGATATGCGAACAATGTTCACTTAAGTTTTGTTATTCAATTCCAAGAGTAGCCACGTTTTATAGCAAAGGATACTGCTAAATGCACTTACTCCACACCAGATAACCAACAGTAGTCTGATCCAGAAGACTTGTTTGCCGTGAATTTTGGGCTGCATTTGGTAGGAAAGGATAGTCTGAACAAACATGTATAATGAGCCGATGCCAAAGGTGAGCACAGCTCCACATACATGTACAGCAAAAAAGGTGGTTTTCTGAGAAGTAAAAGGAAGAAATAAGTAAATAAAAGGAACCCCAAACGCATCAACAACACAATATTTAAAAGCACAAGCCCAGCGATTTCAATAGGACATTCACTGAGTGGAAAAGCTCTGCAGATTCTACAAATTATTTCCTGAAGTAATTTTCCCTCAGTACTCAGCATAAACCTGAGAATTACAGTAATCCAAGTTACTTCATATGCTACTACTGAAAACATGATAGTAATTATTCATTCACACATTAAATAATAAACTTTAGAAATAAGTAAATTCCATAGTATACTAAATGGTGATATGGGTTATAGAAAGAGTAGAACACGTTAAAGAGGACTAGGATGCTTGGGAATGCAGGGGGTAGGGAGTCTCAGCTTAAACCTAATTAAAATCTAAATGCAATTTAAAGGCTCAAGAAATTAAAACATCCCACCTTGTCTCTAGTTGGATTGGTTTTGATAAATTATACAATGAGGGATTACCATAAATTATAGTTATCTTCTCCTTTACCTTACTCTTTGTTTTTACTTTTTAATTAATTTTTTTCCTTTGCCTTACTCTTATCAGTATCCATTGACATTTTACTCTATATGTCCCTGTTTAAAAGTGATGACAGTAGTTCACCAAAAATTCTACTATCAAAGGCCTCTGGTTGAACTGTATTTTTCTAAACTGATGCTGTCTGTACGTCATTTGCTTGAGAAGGTACTATGCAGCACTTGGTAAAGAGGGTATGACGAAGGTAACAGGAGAAGAGAGGTTAGGTTAGCGGTTGGTTCCCTCCTTCTACAATCAACTGTGCTAATTCACATAGAGTCCACTTTTTTAGTTGAAGGTATAAGAAGTTTCTAGTGTAAAGAGATAAAAGGTTATAAAGCAGAAACTAACACACCATTGTAAAGCAATTATACCCCAATAAAGATGTTAAAAAAAAAGAAAGAAAAGGTATCAATTTATTTGCCAATGGCATTGATTTCCTTTTGGAGAGAGAAAGTGCTACTTTGATAAGGTTTGGGGTGTTTTAACTGGCAATAAGTTATGAGCGTTGGGAAGGGAAAAAAAGTCATTGCTACTACCACTCTGGGTAACAAAGAAAAAAAAAAACATTCAGCACCCATAAAACATAATACAAAATGATAATATCTTCTTGGTTCATGTGAATTTACCTATATATAGAGATACATGGATAAAGACTGCAAAAATGAAATTGACTATTTTAGGGCTAAGAGCAAGAATATGGGTGAATTTTTCTCCTTAAAAATATTCTCGCATATATTTGTCGACTGAAGAGAAAAAAAAAAAAACACAACCTAAAAATTGAGAATTGTATTTTATTTGGCAGACTTTCTGAAGACTTCAAGCCCAAGAGGCAGCATCTCAGATGGCTCTAAGGGACTGCTTCAAGACAAAAGGGAGGAGCCAGGACATATAGGAGTTTTGCAACAAAGATTACTGTTAATTAAAGAAAACCAGGTATCTCAAATTAATTTTGTGCTTTTCTGTTTGGGAAGATGCAAGAGTTGGGGCTCACTGAAATCATTCCATTGATAAGCAACTTAGCTGTCTAGGGCCAGTATCCAGCCCCATCCTGAGTCCCCTCAGGGTGCACCGTTGGTGGGTGGCTGCAGGCTGCCCATCTGTCTCCATCCTGAGTTTCCTCAGGGCTCACTGCCCGGGTGGCTGTAGTGGCTTGATGGCTACAGTACCCTTTGTTTACTGACATGGCAGGCAATGTTTTTCATTCACATATTGATTAAGCTAAATACAGATATAGCCTGACCAATGCCCACATGTGATCAGTACACAGTTCCATCAACAAAATTCTGTAGTTATAAAGAAAAATAAAGAATGGAGAGCATTTACTACTGTATTTTTATAATCAAAAGAGAGGTATATAAAACTGGTTTTAACTGGCCAGCACTTTTGCTTAATCCACTCAATTTTGTCATTTTAGAGACTAGGAAAACAGCAAAAGATCTTGAAACGGGCAAGAGATTATTCTTTCAATGGAATACTAGAGCCTCTGAGAATGGTTCTATAGAAGTGTGAATTTTACTTGTCTTTGATTAGGCTATTTTGCAGAGAGAACTTGTACAATGATGGACATTATGTGTATAGACAAAAGTTAACTTATTGAAAATGCATAATAACACAAATAATCCATATGAATAGAAATGCATATTGTGTCCTATTGAATGCAACTATCACTCTGTGAATAATGACCAGTTTTGCTAGCTTTGCATCTATCTGTAAATTCATTTGAGCATTCCTTATCTGACTATAAATGTGTGGTACTTTGATTTCTCTTTTGAACTGGTTTGTATTACCCACTATTCCTCTCATTAATAAATTAAATACAATCTTTGACATGTACAAAAGTCACGATTTTATCTCCTTTAAAAATATATCATTTAACAAAGACAAAAATGTATTCTTTGACAAAGACAAGAGAAATTACAGAGATATGTGTGGTCGGGGGCAAATGTTTGCTATAGAACTTAAAAACTATGTATTGAGTGGCCTGTAATCTTCACCTAAAAGCAGTTAATGAAATTTAAGAACTAATCTTTATTCCTTCCAAAATCTCCATGAGGATAAATTTTCTAGGAAGGGAGAATGCCATGTGACAACAGAGGCATAAATTATAGAGTTATGCTGCCACAAGCCAAGAAATGCCAAGAATTACTAGAAGCTGGGAGAGAGACATGGAATAGAGTCTCCCTCTGAGCCCCCAAAAGGGAACCAACCCTACCAACACCTTGATATCAGATTTCTGGCCTCCTGAACTCTGAGAGAATAGATTTCTGTTTTGTTTTTTTTTTTTTTTTTTTATGATAACTGCATGTTTTACCCCTGCAAGGGTTACATAGAGTTCAAAGGGGAGAAAGTAGTTGGGGTTGAAGTTGGGGGTTTTATTTGACACCTTTTGTTTTCCATGAGAAAGGATTTTATCTAAATACTCCTGACTTCTTTTTTTTGTTGCTGTTGTTTTTGTTTTGCGGTACGCGGGCCTCTCACTGTTGTGGCCTCTCCCGTTCTGGAGCACAGGCTCCGGACGCGCAGGCCCAGCGGCCATGGCTCACGGGCCCAGCCGCTCCGCGGCATGTAGGATCTTCCCGGACCAGGGCACGAACTCGCGTCCCCTGCATCGGCAGGCAGACTCTCAACCACTGCACCACCAGGGAAGCCCCTGTTATTTTTAAGCCATCCAAATTGTAGTATTTTGTTATGACAGCCCTAGAAAATTAACATAGAGTTCTGCCTAGTTATCCCTTTCAAGTTTCCTTGAGGATGAATATCCTAGTGCCAACTAAAGAATGTCATTCGCCATCTGGCCCTACAAGGATTGAGTCATTAGCCACGGTAGTCACTGACCTTCAACATACTCTGAAAGGAGCTCAGGGCAGAGATAAGGAATGAGGCACTCTGCTCTGTGGAAACTGGCAGAACAGGCCTTCAGACAGTTAGATGTTTTCAGGAGACAATTTTATGAACCCAATTTCTTGCATCTTCCCATACTTAGAAAAGCACTAAATTCATTAACTAAGATATCTGTGCCTTGTGACTAGCAGAGACCTTCTACTGAGATGTGTGTTTGACAGCACGTACCCTTTCTCCAATAACACATATATGCTGACCTCCCCCCTTAACCTCTTTGGAGCAGTCTCTCAGAGCTATCTCAGAGGCTGCCTCCGGGCTATCGTCCTCAGTAAGTCCCCAGATAAAACTGCAACTCACATCCCTCACGTTGTACATTTTTATTTCCGTAGACGTTAGGAAGGGAAATATTTCTAGGCACTGAGGACACTTATTTGTTTTGCTGCATGTTTTTTTTTTCTTTTGGCTGTGCAGCTTGCAGGATCTTAGTTGCCCGACCAGGGACTGAACCTGGGCCCTAAGCAGTGAAAGTGCGGAGTCCTAACCACTGGATCACCAGGGAAGTCCCTTGCTGCGTGTTTTTATACACACTTGTTTTCAAAGAAATTAAATATATATTTTTTTAAGTCAGAGTTTTTGTGCTAAGTACTATGTTAGGTGCTGGATATACAATGGTGAACAAAACCACTGAGCTATATTTAATGGAAATATATCAACTAAAAAATTTTTAAATAAATCTAAAAAACACAGATGAAAAATTAGACTATAAGAAGTGCTGCACAGAATTACTTTCCAGAGGCTTGGAGAACACAAAGAAAGAAAACCTGAAATATATAGGAGGAAATCTATTGACAAAAAAAGACTTCCCTGAGGAAATATAGTCTGCCTACATCTATTTAGGCTTGGGGCTGTGGAATGTGCAACAGAAGAAACAATGTACGAAACAGAGTAAACCGGTCTTATTTAAGGAACACAGAAAGACCCGTGTTATGTACAATATTAGGAGGGGGAATGATGTAGAATGAGGCCAGACAGGTAGATAGTAGCCAGATCACAAAAAACCTTTGAGTTAATTAAGCAGTTTGGCAGTTTAACAAATTATTTTTTGCTCTCCTGATTCTATCTCTTTTCATGTGACCTTGGACCTGTGAGCTTCAAACAGTGGTACAAGGAAACAGAATGAGGTATACGTATATTTCCAAAAGATTACTTTGGCTGAGGCATCAAATTAAAGGGATGTAACAGTGAATGCAGAGGAACTATTAGGGAGGCTAGGGCAGTAATCCAGAGGAGAGGTGATGAAATCTAAACTGGTTGAGAAGGAGATGGTAGAGACAATAGAAATGAAAATGGACAGAAGCGGATGTTTTCAAGAAATATTTAAGAGATAAAACCAACAAGTCCCTACTTTTAAAATGCCTCTCTTCCAAGTTAAGCTCTCTAACTGTAAACCATTTATAGACCTGGTTTGTGTACAATTTTTCCATATATGAATCAACTAGAGTTTGTCTCTGCAAGAGAGAAGTGGGGACAGGAGAAAGAGACAACGCATTCACCACTTTAAATAAGCAGTGAAAGTTTACATTAGAAAGGAAGGAAGGAGAACTGTTTGATATGTAGGTAATGCTACAGGGTCTGCTTATAAATAGGGTCCAGCAATGATTTGCATGGGTGCTATTAGGAACTGCCATTGGAATTTACTGGACTGTGTAGAAAAGTATCAGTTACTAACAGGAGTAGTATGCTATATGTGGAGGTCACTTTGGAATCCATTTTTACCATACAGTCATGAGAGATATTGTTAAACTGATCAAGGGATAACTGGAACAAAGAATCACTATCCATATACTATAAACCTCCAAACACATTTTTTAAACACTGAGCTATATAAACTGATTAGGGAAAGCAGGACCCTATTTGTGGTAGACAGCTAGCTAGTTGTCCACAAAAGTTTTTGTGTCCCTTCCATAGTATAGAGTTGCCCTGGGAACTGATGCCCAGCAAGATTACATTTCCCAGCCCCTCTTACATCTAGCAAAAAGGAATGTCAGTGGAATGATGCGAGTCACTGCCAGGTCCAAGTTTCTAAGAAGTAGGGGTGAATTTTGCATGTTCTCTTTGACTATTTCAGGCAGCTAGATGCAGAAGACCACAGAGTTTTAGGGTATTGCAGGGCCCAAAGATGGACAGTGTCTGGGCCTTAAATCACTGTGGGAGGAAGGCCATCTATCAACCAAAAATACCTGCACTGGATGCATGTATGTAAGAAATAAACTTCAATTGTGCTGTATGTGTATGGCTGATTCATTTTGTTGTGCAGTGGCGGCTAACACAACATTATAAAGCAACCATACTCCAATAAAAATTAAACAAACTTCAATTGTGTTAAGACACTGAAATTTTGGACTTGGTTATAGCAGCAAGCATATTACCCTAATATCCACTTGGATTATACTTATAGGGTTTACTAGTATTAACCATTACTAAAAAACTGAAAAATAGGAGCATTCAATCAGAAGCATTATAGGAATGGAGAACTTTGAATAAAAAAGAGAGATGGAATATGCCTTTATACAGGTATTTGTATGATGAGGGTGTGCTTGTATGTCTGAATAGTTACTAGATGTCGAAACAGGTTACCAAATGTATAGATTGAAACTCTAAAGACTGCAGGGATTAATTTAAAAAGCACCATGCTTAGGATGCAGCTGGTATTACCAAAGACTCCTCTGAAAAAATGTCAGTAGAAAGGAACGTGGAGACTTTACAAACATTTGCTGAAGGCTGACTGCTACCTTAACATAAAGAATTCCCTGAGAAAAAAACTGGAAAAGCTATAGCTCCTCCCTTGACTTCCTCATTTAAGTGGCTGGGCACCTAGGGATGCAGGCAATAAACAGGAACATCTAAACAAGAATATAAAATAGGTAAATGAGTGTAACTTGTTAGGCATAATAAAAAAAGAGTTTAAGTCTTTAATTGTGTCACTTATAATTCATGTCAATTCTCTGTGGTCTTGGAGTAATCTCCAACTAAGTGGTAATAAAGAATCTAGTAAGTAAAGAGTCCCGAGGATCTTTAAAAAGTTATAATAATTTGTATTTGTTCAGAAGATTACTGAGAATGAATTTTTCTAATTTCTAAGAGGGTCAAGTAATTTAAAGGCAGTGGATTCCATTTTGTTAAGGCAAAAAACAATAACTACATGTAACTGAATCTTTCAGGTTTTCTTTCTTAGCATGTATTTTTATGTACTTCAGGAAAATACCTGTGCTGAGCTAAAACACAAACCTGGAAGTTTGCCACAATAGAAAGTCCTAAACAACTCAGTAATCCAAGTACAAGGCCAGCCTTGTTTAATTTGATGATACGACTCTCTTCAGGATTCAGAGCATGAACTTGCTTATAACGAACATAAATGGTCGCAATGCCTGGGAAGAGATAATCGGAAAAACAACAAAGTAATAAATAACTAAGGAATAAAGTTGCCAATAAAGAGCTCACAAAGGTCACTGCTATCCAGAAACATAGAGTTTCCTTTTAAAGCTAATCTGATAGAAGAAAAAACAATAAAAAAACAAACAAAAAAAAAAACGGCTATAGATTTTAAAGAACTTTTAAGGTTGCATTGTGAAACTACTGCTACCTCTGCATGACTGCAAGTCATTTGCAAACGACTCTGCAAGTCGTTTGTCTCCCGTAGCCCTCATATTAAAAATATTTAGGAAAGGGCTTCCCTGGCAGCACAGTGGTTAAGAATCTGCCTGCCAATGCAGGGGACACAGGTTGGAGCCCTGGTCTGGGAAGATCCCACATGCCACGGAGCAACTAAGCCTGTGCGCCACAACTACCGAGCCTGTGCTCTAGAGCCCACGAGCCACAACTACTGAGCCCGCATGCCACAACTACTGAAGCCTGTGCACCTAGAGCCCATGCTCCGCAGCAAGAGAAGCCACCTCAATGAGAAGCCCGCATACCACAACGAAGAGTAGCCTCCACTCGCCGCAATTAGAGAAAGCCCACACGCAGCAACGAAGACCCAATGCAGCCAAAAATAAATAAATAAATTTATTTTTAAAAAATTTAGCAAACCTTTAAGAGATTAAGTTTGATGTTTTCTGAAAATCTCTAGTAATAAACTTTACATAAAACACAAAATATTCTATATGATTAGCATTAAAGTCTAAAGTAATTAGTTCTAGAACACATATAAAATGAACATAGGCAAAAAACACTGAACGATTATTTGCCTTGCTCCCATTTCATTTTATTTCAAATTACTACAACTTGGCTCAATCAGATATAGCAGTCAGTTACACAGAAAAAAAAAAACCCACTTGACTGTCCTTATTGGTTAAGAATCATTTTTTTAACTTCAATGTTTCACCTGACCAAATAATAAACATCATATGGAAAAATGCAAATATTTTAAACAATCACGATTGACGGAAGAAGTATTATTTTAGTAAACCATTAATAAAAAAAATTGGTTCAGGGACTTCCCTGGTGGCGCAGTGGTTAAGAATGCACCTGCCAATGCAGGGGACACAGGTTCAATCCCTGGTCCGGGAAGATCTCACATTCCGTGGAGCAACTAAGCCTGTGCGTCACAACTATGGAGCCTGAGTGCCACAGCTACTGAAGCCCATGTGCATCGAGCCCAGGCTCCGCAACAAGAGAAGCCACAGCAGTGAGAAGCCCGCGCACCACAACAAAGAGTAGCCCCCACTAGCCGCAACTAGAGAAAGCCCGCATGCAGCAACAAAGACCTAACGCAGCCAAAAACAAATTAATTAATTAATTAATTTCAAAAAAATAATGAACAGGAATGTAAAATACTGCAGTAGAACTCCATTTCTTTGGCATTAGAATATCACTCAAAAATCAAAGCATGGTTCCACAGCTATTCTCAAACTTCTGAAGTGTTTATCTTAAAGGAATTTTGTTGGGGTCAGCTGTGGTCAGTGTGTTTACAGCTCTTTGTCCTTTATTGGTTGCTTAAGAAATGCACTTAGGGCCTCAAGGAATATTTGGTTATACTTTACAACTTCTATTTCTATAGTAGTCAAATAGCCTTATAGGTATTTTTAAAAGGTTTCCATAATTTAGCATTTCTAGACATTGTTTTTACTTTAAAAGAAACATATCTGTGATCAATGATTTAGTGATAACATTCCTTCAATTGTAACTAGAAAGTAAAATAAATAACCCAACAGTGTTGAAAGAAGAAAAGGGCAATTCAGCTATTAATTTTGATTGTTAAAACCACTCTCACTACTTACATAAAACTGCAGCAATATTTAACATTGCCCCAAACAAGCATTTTTCTGGAGCTACTGTACCAGTGTCACTGAAAGGAAAAAAAAAAAACGTATGAGGATTTCTCATATTAGATTTAGTATACACATGTATTTCTTCTAAGGGATAAGAAACAAAAGGGGTTATTTCAAATCCTTTATCTTTTTATAAATCTATGAGCTCAACTCTTACATAATTTTATAATAAGAACATGATAATTTGAGCTCGCAATACTTGCCTTGTTCACTTTTTTCTTATATCACTTAAGGTTATTTCTTTTTCACATAATAGAAACCACTATGAATTGATAAAAAAAGCTATCCTTATTATGTTAAGGCTGCGTTATTAACTTACATCAGTCAGGCGGTGTGTTTACCTGTCTCACCTGAATATTCCCTAAACACCAAAGGACTTTTCATGATTCTTTTGGCATCTGTTATTCTCTGCCTATAATTCAGTTAACACCTAATCGTTTCCTGATTAATTTTAAAAAATATTTATCAAGCACCTACCAGCATTGTCAGACAGCATTTTAGGGATAGGAACACAGTGGTAAGTAGAAGAGACCAAGCCCTTACCCTTCTAGAGATTCCATTCAAGAGAGCCTTGCTGACTCACACAGCTTAGTCCAGACTTCTATTAAAATCACAGATCACGCTGTGCTGCAATATGTCTGTTACATGCCTGTCTTTCAGCGCAGGGTGAAATGCATAGATCCTGATTAATAGCCCACAATTTACTACTAACTGGGGAACCTTGAGAACATTCTTTTATATACCTAACATGGTTCCCTATCTGCGAAATGGGGCTATCAATTCCCTCCCAGCCTCATCAGATCAACATGAGGAAACAAAACTGTGGTCGTGCATGTGAAGTGTCTAGCACAGCAGCAGACACACAAGAGACACCTAGTAAATGTTAGCTCCTTCCCCTTCTCTCAAACTACTGAAAAGATTAAAAAGACAAAGTCTTTAGCCTCAAATTGAGGTACTATAGGAAAGAGGTAAGAAGGATCTCAACTCAGACAATGTAATGGGAATAAAAAAGAAATGGAAAGTCATATCCGCTAAGGAATCAATAATATTTGGTGAACATTTGGATTAGGTTCAGGAAAAGTAAAGCATCAAATATGAATTCTAAGGATTGCTCCTTCCCATTCTAAAACGTTTCTTCAGACACAAAAGATTTTGTTACTCTTTGATCATCTTCAGGGAGTGGGGATTATGTTTCGTTGTTGTTGTTCCTTCTACCTTTCAAGTTTTCAAGAATAATGCATATGTATTATTGTTATAATCAGAAAAAAAATCCATAATTTTAACAGTCATATTCCAAATGATGCTCCTGTTTTGGATTACCCCGTAAGTAAATAACAGCAGGCACTTCCAAGATGGCTGGCTAAGTGTGCTCTGGATTGGAATGACAAACTGGCCTATAAGTGAAAACACCCATCAGCATCACACTTCAACCCAGTAGCCATCAAACTATTTTGATCACACACCGTCAAAAAAAAAATTGTCTGATCATCATTATATGTTATCATATTATTATACATATATTAAATATAAGTTTAAATAGTTTTTTTTTTTTTTTTGGCCTTACTGAGTGGCTTGTGGGATTTTAGTTCCCTGACCAGGGATTGAACTCAGGCCCTCAGCAGTGAGAGTGTGGAGTCCTAACCACTAGACTGTCAGGAAATTCCCAAATATAAGTTTAAATATTTTGAAATAAAAAATACATAGAAGTTCTAAAAAGTTCTTCTTATACCCCAGTGGCTAGTCTCATGCACCCTACTTGAGCATTCACTACTTGAACTAAGAGAACACCTGAAGCACACTTGCAGTGGAATTGTCTTTGAATTGTGAATTGTCTTTGAAGTGAAATTTATATTTGGTTATGTCCTTTGGGGACTTTAATAATTAAGCCTTTTAGGTAGGGTCTGTGAACTGAAAGGAATTCTGCAGAGTATCTAGTCTAACTCAACCATTTTTCATATAAAAAAATGAGCCTAGGAAAAGTAAAAATAAGTACCATTGAGTTTAAATATATTAGAATGTTGGAGAAAGTTCCCCGTGCAACAATACTAAGTTCATTTGCAAAAAAGTTAAAAGGTAGAAGGACAGAGACAGAAAAGGAAGTGCCTGGGGTTACATCGATCAGAGAATCACATGCAGTACCATTAGAGAACTGAAAGTGAAAAAGAACTCAAACACACAAGTTCTCTAAGGGGAATTAAAAAAATGCTGAAGGACGCTCAGGAATATGTATGCTCTACTGGAGTTACTAAAGAATGAACTGGCTCCTTAAGCTGCATGTCCCTCTAGCAGAGTGGTAAACAGAGGTGACTACTTATCAAAATTATTCCTAGAACTGGAAACTTAAATTCTAAAATATCTTTGGATTTTGTAAATCTTCCCAAAGTGGACTCAAGTTGTTGGTGTCCTTTGTGCTATGCTATACCATAGTGGTAACAACAAATGTAATGGCAATGCCCTGACCTCTTCTTGACATTTAAAAAAGATAAATTTAGCCTTTTGGTTTATCATCCTTTAAAAGTTCACTATTTTCTGTGTTGGAAAGGTTATTTTTCAGAAGGTAAACAAATAAATAAATGAAACAACTACAATAAACAACAAAACAAACCAAACTCTGGAAGGAAATCAACCAAACCATTAATCACCTCTGGAAGGGCAGGAACTAGAGGGAGGCTGGAAGAGTCTTTCACTTTTTATTTTTATAATCACTCTGATAGTGTTTAAAATTTGTTAGAATAAGCACATATTGCCTTTATAGTTGGGGGGGAAAAAAAAGAGGGTTATGGACATAGCACATGCAATTGAGTACTCATACTTACATCATGAGTAGTTTTGAAATTTCAAAACTATTATCAATAAATTTAGATACTTAATGTGTCAGAAAGATCTAGGCAACATGTCATAGATCAGCTCAGTGCTTTGTGACCGCCTGGAGGGGTGGGATAGGGAGGGTGGGAGGGAGGGAGATGCAAGAGGGAAGAGATATGGGAACATATGTATATGTATAACTGATTCACTTTGTTATAAAGCAGAAACTAACACACCACTGTAAAGCAATTATACTCCAATAAAGATGTAAAAAAAAAAAAAAAAAGAGTAAGAGCACAGTCTCTAGAATCAAATGGCCCAGTCAAACTGAATCTTGGTTCCATTAATTACTGAGTCATGTTCCCTTGGACAAACAATTTAATCTCCCTGGACCTTATTTCCTCCTCTACCAACTGGGGGTAATAGTTCCTGCCTCAAAGGGTGGCTGTAAGGATTCAATTGTTTAAGACCTGATGAATGCTTAGAACATTACCTTGTACACAGTAAGTGGATCAATTAATGTTTGTCATTACCATTATTTTTTAATATTATTATCGTTGCTCTAGCATTTTTTAATGGTAAGGGGAGAATAATTCCAATTCTATCTTCTGAGACCTCAAATAGTTATTTGGAAGACAAGGCACTGAGGTGTCACAATTCACTAAATGAACCTTAGCCCTCTGTCTCCACATTTCTCTATCACATAGAAAGAGCCAAATACAACTTCCTTTTTATGTTCCTTTCACTGTTGTAATATCAAACATAAAAGTTGAATTTTAAAATGTTAAAATTAAATGTTGGGTTCAATGTTAAAATATGAATGAGACATACCATTCTCCATAAAAGAATACATTTCACTGACCTGATATAAGGCAAAACAGGGTCAACATGGTGAAGTGTTATAGCAGTGATATATGAAAATATGAAAGCAGCAGCCGTCCAAATTACAAGGGCTGAAGGAAGGAAACTGAGGCCTTGCTGAAACCACCACATCTCAAACACGTCTCCTGAAGCAGAGAAAAACAAATTAGAAAAGATTATTCACACGTATTTCATCTATTCTACTTTAGCCATCCAATCCACAACCTTGTACTTATCATCCTCAGCTGTTTCACTTCTCATCAGCCCCCACACCATCTAGTGACACCTGCTCTCCTTCAGTTTCTCAGTTAATGGAACCAAGATTCACCCACTTGCCATATCTAGACACTATCTTTCTCCCCCATCTTTCCACACATAACCAAGTACCAAGGACTGTTTATTACACCTCCTAAATTTCCTCAAATCTACCCGTTCCCCCAATCTTCACTGCCACTACCCTACTTAAACCATCATCATTTCTTGACCAGATAATTATTATAACCACCTAGACTTGACTTTAAAATCAGAATGAGCCTTCTAATTCTAAAATACCAACCTGACCACTTTATTCTCCTCCAAAGAACCTTTTAGTGCCTCCCCCATGCCCTTATAAATTGTCCTTCCTCCTTAACATGTCTATAAGGTCTTTTTGTTGTCCAATCTCTACTTAACCTTTCTGTATTCCTCTCCCGCCAGTTCTCTGTCTGCTCCTAGTTCCTTGCCCTAGCTAGCATCATCTTCATCATCATTACAAAAGCAAACACAGTGTTTACTGTGTCAGCAAGGCTACTAAACACCTTAAATACAGGATCTCGTTTACTCCTCACAACAGAATTATAGAGGTTAAGAGAATTGCCCAAGGTCATAGGGCTGCAGTAGAGACAGGGCTCAAACTCAAGGCAGTTCCAGGCTAACACCAATCACCACGTTATACTGCCGCAGCAAACTTCTTTCAGATCGTCAAGTGTGTCATGCCCTCTTGTGCACCTTTGAAACTTGGTGCACGTTGTTTTGCCAGGATGACTAGACTACTATGGTGTCACACCTCCTGCCCCACTACCACCAGTTAACTGCTATACATTTTCAAGTCTCAGCTCTTCTAGCTTCAGCTGAGTGTACCTGCTTTGTTCCCAACAGCAGGCTCACTTTCTCAACCAGGTCATTCATCACACTTAACTGTTACTCACTTGTTTGGTTTTATCTTCCTTAATAAACTTGAAAGGGCCTACATATACACATACCACTTATCACCATTTTCTCCCTTAAATTCCAGACTGACGATGTTAGTAAGTAATAAGAGGTCAATAATATGAATTAGAAAATATTAATATATTTTCATGCATTTAATAAAAAAAAATAAATACAGAAATATTTTCAAATTATAAGAAATTACTCCTACTCATGTGAAAATAATTTCGTATTTGGAGGAGTATATTTTCATAGTGCGATGGACTGAAATTTAGTATTTCCCAAGGACTCTGTAAAAACTTACAATTCTAATCTCCACAATCGTCCAATGTACTCAGCTTCCTCATCTCAGACTGACCTTCCAGATAATAAAACCTCAGCCATTTTTGACTTGTACTTGTCATTTACTCTGATCACCTGACTTGCTGCTAAAATATGTACATTTAAATCTTGCCAAATAAGTTTCTTTTCCTTTAGCCCTAAAGTCACCATTATACACTTGATTTGAGTAATTTCCTGTCTGAATTGTCATAATCTCCTCTTTTCTGTTTTTTTTTTTTCCTGTCAACTCTTAACATTCCATCAATTTTACTCTTCTGTTTAGCTAATCATGACAGTTCCTTGCCAAGTTCCTATAGGACTTTCCCCAACATAAGTTTCTGGGACAATAATTCTCAATTTCAATAAATTTTGATTAACTTCTAAAATCTTTCATTTTTCTCCTTTCATCTCTTTAAATGTTATTTTGTTTTTGTTTTTTTTGTTGTTGTTGTTTTTGTTTTTGTTTTTGCGGTATGCGGGCCTCTCACTGTTGTGGCCTCTCCCGTTGTGAAGCACAGGCTCCAGACGGACGTGCAGGCTCAGCGGCCATGGCTCACGGGCCCAGCCCTTCCACGGCATGTGGGATCTTCCCGGACCGGGGCACGAACCCGTGTCCCCTGCATCGGCAGGTGGACTCTCAACCACTGCACCACCAGGGAAGCCCTGTTTCTGATAAATTCGATTCTAAAATCTTTAGGAGTCTAGTTCTGTATTTGTTGGTTCTGCCAGCCCTTGTACATGTGTTTTTCTGTTTTTGACTATGAGCTCCTGTTTGGATGATCTTAACTGGGAGTATTCTAAGAGGCTTAGATTAAGGGTGAATCATTCCAGGGAGGGTCTGTATTTACTTTTGCCAAGCACTCTGGCACATTACGAACCTGGGCCGACTTTTAATTTCTGGGTTCCAAGTTTTTTAGACCATGTAGATAAGTAAACTTGAACCATGAATCTGAGTGATGACAGGCCCTGTAGTTTCAAGTTCTTATGTGGTATCTTTATTCCCCCACCCGGAGCTGTGGTGAAAATGAACAAATTTTTTTGTGATCCCCCTTTGCCAGGAAGGAGGTATTTTTCCTAGCCCACCTTTCATTGAGTGTATAGATTTTTGAGGCTGATTTGGGGGGAGGTGGTTCTCCAAGGCCATGAGTTGTACAATTTCAAGTAGAAATATTTACATTTTACTTTTTATGAAAAAGTCATCCCCTGACACACAGGCATCATCTACACAAACTGTATCATGTGAATGGTATCTCTGGAAGTTGTACACCTGGGAGGTCAAAGGGGTATGAATTCTATCTCTCTACCTTGGGTGGTGAGCAGGGGGAGCCTATCATTTACCTTTGATTGTACTTTATTTCAAAGGCCCCAAAAGAGACACACTACTGGTTTATTACTCTGGTGTCAGCTCTCTTCGACTTTTTAGTCCTGAGAATTTGTTTCTTTCCTACGTGAACTGCTATGCATTTACAAGGCTAATATATTCAGCATTTTGGTGTTTTGGCAAAAGGGATTTTCAAAACATTTTGTCCACCCCATTGCTAGAAGTATGACCTCTTTTTTTCAAAAAACAAACAAACAAAGAAACAAACACTACAACTCCCAGAATTCTGTGGGTCACATTAGTCTCAGGTATGTTGGAAGGTATGGTCCCAGCCAGGTTCCAGAGTAGTAGATAATGTCAGAGAAGAGAGTGGGAGTGGTGGAGATAGATGTCGGAGGATTTCACTGGAGGGACAAGTAGGCGATGGTTCATTTCAAAGTTGGGGGAAAGCACTGTCTTCCTCTAGGGAGAATGGGAGAGCCTATTTTATTTTTTTTTACTTTTTTTGGCCACCCCACACAGCTCACGGGGATCTAAGTTCCCCGACCAGGGATTGAACCTGACCACGGCAGTGAAAGCCGGGTATTCTAACCATGAGGCAACCAGGGAATTCCCACATGATCTCTTCCTTTAATTGTTTTTTCATGTCCAAATCCTTCCTATTCTTCAAAATCAAGCTGAAATACCATCTTCCACACACAACCTTCCCTAATCCTTTTGTATCTGGAAATAAACACCCCTTCCTCTGAGAACATTTGATTTGCACATCTCTTACAGCTCATTATCTTCTATAGTATAAAAGTTTGGGAGGGTGTTTGAAGTGGATAAAATCCTTGGTGAGGGATTTCACTTCTCTGCCCAAGCAGAGAAGAGGGCCTTGCTCATAAAAATTACTCAATAACCCAAACCAAATTCTCGTAAACCCCAAAAAGGTTCATTATTTTTCCATTTCAGTTAACAGTACAGGAGATCCCCGACTTACGACAGTTCAACTTAGAATTTTTCCACTTTATGATGGTGCAAAAGCAATAAACATTCAATCGAAACCTTACTTTGAATTTTGACCTTTTCCCAGGCTAGTGATATGTAGTACAATATTCTCGTGACAGCAAGATGCAGCTCCCAGGCAGACACAAAAATCACAAGTGTAAACAACCCATACACTTACCACCATTCTGTACCCAGACAACCATTCTGTTTTTCACTTTCAGTACAGAATTCAATAAATTACATGAGATATTCAACACCTTATTATAAAATGGGCTTTGTATTAGATGATTTTGCCCAATTGTAGACTAATGTGTTTTGAGCACGTTTAAGGTGGGCTAGGCTGAGCTACCATGTTCCCGTAGGTTATATGTATTAAATGCATTTTCAACTTACGATGTTTTCAGCGTACAATGGGTTTATTGAGACATAACCCCATTGTAAGTGGAGAAAGATCTGTTTGTACTACCGTTTTTCCAGGCTATCCAGATTCTAAGGCCTCAGAGTAACCTTAGGGTCTCTCATCCAAAGCCCTCACGTGCTGTCACTAAATGACGGCATTTCTACCTTCAGTCATTGGCAACCATTCTTCTTCCTAGTTGCCAGTGTAAACACTCAAATCAGATTCTCAATTCGCTTGGCCTATTTTTTTCTTCCCATCCATCCATTCTACGCGCACTGCCAAATTAACAGTCCTAAAACACTTTTCTGCTCAAAAACGTTTTTTTAAATAAAATTGTGCAAACTTGGACAAACTTCATTAATTTCTCTGAACCAGTTTCTCCTTTGAAAAATGGCAGTATTATTGGTAAAAGCTGCACTGTCTAATATAGTCACCACTAGCCACATGTGGCTATTTAAATTAAAATTTCAATTGATTAAAATAAAATCAAATTTAAAATTTCAGTTCCTCAGTTGTACTAGACACATTTCAAGTGCTCAAAAGCCACAGGTGTCTAGTGGCTACCATACAGGATGGTGAAAATATGGTACATTTCCATCATCGTGGAAAAGTTCTGTCGGACTGAGCTGGATAATTATTGCAGGAATTACACTGACATAGCACAAGTAAAGAACCTAAACACATTGCTGATACAGGTAGCTTTTAGTAAATGGTCTAAAATAATACCCGCTTCAGAGAAGTTTATTCAAGAACTAAATAAGATAATATATGTAAAGATGCTCTCATAGGTGGTCAATAAATGTTTGTTCCTCTTTTAGAATGTAAAAGACAAATTACCTGTTTTACAAGTTCTCAAAATATCAGTCTTCAAATCTGCCCAAAACCATACCTTTTGTAAATCCTGAAATCCACACACAAAGAAAATAGAGGTTGTTTCAACCCACAGGCTTTTAAAACATGTAAAATTTCAAGTCAATGCACCAATATTGTTCATGGATAGAACACTATGCTATAGCATTATTAACGTTTTCTCTTTTTCTAAGAGTTGACACTTGTGTATTTTATAATGATGTACCATCTGGAATTAAATAATATTTTAAATCTGGGATATCAATTTTCTCATCCTTTCTCACATTCAGCCATCTTTCGCTGATCTCAAAAAGGATAAAATAAAATGAAAAACACTGAGTTCCTTCCCACAGAAGGAAAGACAATAATGAGGAAAGAATGATAGCTTATTATTAAGCCAAATAAAGCACTGACTAGTCCCTGTGATGCAATGGAAAGAACACAGCTGTAAGATCAGATTTATCTAAGTGCAAATCCTAGCTTTATCACATCCCAGCTGCATGATTTCTGGCAAGTTACTTAGCTTCTCTGAGTTTCAGTATTCTGATTTGTAAGGTAGCTCTGTTCCTTAGAGTAGTACAGAGTAAGCATACAATATAATAATGAAAGGTGATTTGTACAACCACAATTAGCCACAGGGATGGGGAATGACAACACTTCATTCCTTGTATATATGAATCATCTTGGATTCCTATCTCCTTAGGCTTTGAGGGTTCTAGTTATCTAAACTGACAATTTAGAGGAAAAGCAGGGCTTGAAATAGTTTACCAGTTTGCTAAGGACTACTGAGAAATTTAAGTGCACCGACTAGGTGAGGAAGACTACTATTGCCTATGTATTATCACACTGGAAAGCTGGAAGCTTGGCTGGCTAACTGACAGCCAAACAAAATTAAAATCTTAATGGTTAACAATTTAAGAAACTTTTCAAGATACTTGAAAATATGCAGGAATAACCTTCATATAGTAGTGAAAGTGTTTAACAAAATGTTCTTGCATCTCTCACCTATCTCTGCTTTCCTTGAAGATCCGTGAATCAGAACTGCAGTTACAATTTTTGAATTTCACAAATATTTAAATGCCACTTGTAAAAAGATGAATTCCTTACGCTGTCTCCTCTAAGTGGTGACTGCTTAGGAACAATAAAAAAGTAAATTCTGGATATTCCAAGTGAAGAAATAAAGCCCTAGGTACACAGAATCATGCCCAATGCAAAGCATAATCGTAAATGGTTATTTTTCTAAACTCTAATTTGGCCTTCTAACAAATGTAATATTCTCGTAACGGTTAAAAATTAAATAACTGTTTTATAAGTTGGGTCAAATGTTACAGGGAGAGAAGTCGGGGAGAATCTGATGATGCACGGCAAATTAGAGCTGCATTTGGGTACTGATTTACAAATTTAAATTGGGAGAACTAGGAAAGTGTGGTGTTTTGTAAATGTATCCTAATGTAAGCACGGTTGTGAGGATACAAAGGACAGCCATTTACCTTTCTGTGTTGGGCTTCCCGAGACAAAACTCCGCGTAGACTTGAGCTTCGAGTAAACACAAGGTCACCACATACCTCAATTTCAAACCTTCCTCCCCCTTCCCCCCCACCCCCCGCAAAAAGGAATCTGAGCCCAGGAGTGACAAAGGGAATACATACTCAACCACAGGGTTTCGTGGGACTGGGGCTAAGGTTCTCGGTAACCGCTTCAAACAAATAAAACCAAAGAATTATTTACACTCACCGCTGCCTTCTTCCGGAAGCGCGAAGCACTTGGACGAAGAGCTGGATTAACGCGTTGTTTGGTGCCCGGAAAAGATGCGGGAGGCAGAGCTCGGTCGGGCTTGGGGCAAACGGGGCGCGGAGAGGAGGGGAGCGGGGGGGAGAGAGCAAGAACCCAGACGTAAAGGTGAGTAGCGGAGACCTGAGCCCAGCCTGCACCCACTCCCGGCCCGCCCCCACCTCCCCAAGGCCCCCTCGCAGCCCGCCCGCGGCTCCGGCCAGCACCTGGCCCCTCCCCCCCGTGGCAACCACAGGGTTTCGTGGGACTGGGGCTAAGGTTCTCGGTAACCGCTTCAAACAAATAAAACCAAAGAATTATTTACACTCACCGCTGCCTTCTTCCGGAAGCGCGAAGCACTTGGACGAAGAGCTGGATTAACGCGTTGTTTGGTGCCCGGAAAAGATGCGGGAGGCAGAGCTCGGTCGGGCTTGGGGCAAACGGGGCGCGGAGAGGAGGGGAGCGGGGGGGAGAGAGCAAGAACCCAGACGTAAAGGTGAGTAGCGGAGACCTGAGCCCAGCCTGCACCCACTCCCGGCCCGCCCCCACCTCCCCAAGGCCCCCTCGCAGCCCGCCCGCGGCTCCGGCCAGCACCTGGTCCCTCTCCCGCGTGTCGCACAGCGTAGTCTTTGGAGGCAGGGCGAGCTGGCACGCGACTCGCGCGCCCACCACGGGGGTGGGGGACTCCCGGCAGCGTCCGCGTCCCTACCCGCCCGATCCCATTCTCTGATACACACCCCTTAGTGGGAACTGGGGCCGGTCCTCATCCCCTTTTTGGCCTGCCTTGCTTGGATGACCCTGCCCATACGGACTGCCGGCTCCGGAGGCTGCCGGCAGGACACAGGCCGCGAGGCGCGCACCCGAGCAGCTAAGCCGGACCCGGGGCGCGCTCACCACTAGGGCGTGCGCGCTCGCGCCGCCGCCTCTTCCGACCCTATATCCCTTTACGGCAATCGCGAAAGTGTCGTGAACGTGCTGCCGCGGATCAGAGTCACTCAGTCGGCTGGAGGCGGAGGTCTGTTTCCAGGGGTGTGCTTTTGGGGGCCGGGGTAAGGCTGCGGGGCTCGGTCTTGGGAAGACGGCCAGGGTGTGAAGGATATGTCCGGGGACACGACTCTCAAGAGGGCTGGAGAGATGGCTGCAAGCTCTGGGGTGGGGCATTGGAATATAGCTGTGTATGGACTCGCGCGAGGCAAACGCAGTCCTGCCTCGCGCGCGCTTGTGGGGAGGGCGAGGGGCGACTGCTTCTATGGCCCCGGATAGAGAGATTGATGTGGGGCATTGCCAGCGGTAGAGTCCGGGGGCTGCTGTGCTGGGAGTCGGGATGGGGAAAACCTCGGCGGCCCGGACTGGGCGGGCCGAGGGCGCTGCCCGCGCGGAACCGACCTTGGCTCTCAGGTCCACACCCTCCTGCTCAGGTGCTGCCAGGTCTACAAACATATTACATCCTGTGCCGGATTTGTCTTCCGTTTGGAATACGGTGCTGGTGATTCGTGGCTAGGGCCGCACTTCTTGTTCAGCAACTTTTCTAGAAATTTCAGGATATATTGACAAGCTCTGAGGTTGCCAGCTAGGGCTTATTTCAGCAGTATTCTTGGAAGGAGAAAGGACAGGAGGGTTTGCTAGTCTTTGCCGGTGTTCCAAGAATACTGGATGAATGGGATCTTTACGTTTAACTTGTTTTTTCTCCAATTCAGTGCTTGGCGTTTTTATGTCATTTTTGACGTTTTGCATCATTAGTATTAATATATAATTTTGCTTGAAGTCTCAGTTCATTGATGAATCCTTGTTACGGTAGTAGGCAAATTCATAATTATCTTTAAACAAATGTTAGTGTCTTGTATGTGAACAAAGAATAAAGATTCGGTTTCTACTCTCATACTAGTAGGCATGTGTTCAGTGGAGGTGTTGAATTGACTAACAACCCAAGTAAGACTGGTGAAGGCATTTAGTGTGTAAGGACTTTAGAATCATTGACGTTCACGTAAAATTCCAGAAATTGAAGTTCTAAAAGCAGTTTGCTACATATTCGTTTTGTGCTGAGCAAAAGCTTGTCAGAAGCCCCTTGTACAACTTGTCTTTACAACCCTGCCATTTAAGAAATAAGCTAGATAAATATGCTTCTTGTATTAACCTGTTCTGACAGAGGTGTCTTTATTTGTTGTCCAGTTAGTAGATTATTATTGAATATTTACAATTGTGGTTTCATAACTTCATTCTTCTTCCTCTCTCACACCCAGTCTCTTAAAATTTACGTTATAAACACTATTATATGTTTGGTATTTAACTGTAAACTTGTTTTATAACCCCAGTTATATTTTATTGCATAGTCAATGTGTTTTCTAGGCAGCAGTAGACTTCTTTAAGCTGGCTAAAGTGCTGGTGATGTTCTTTTTGAGGGTCACGCTGTGCTGTCTCTTTCAAGGGAATAGGAAAATAATCCACAAAATGCTAGGCTTTAGCTTTGTTTGTTTCTGGAGGAAGTTGCTTCCTTTTTTTTAAGGAATGCAAGATTTCACTTCAGCAAAACAGTAGATCTAAATTGTGTTACACAGTACTGTTTTAGCTTCCAAGTCTGCTAAAAAGGCTTTTGTTTTTGCTAACTTGTTCTATGTATCACTTGTTAGATAATGCTGAATGTAATCCTGTGATCCTATTAGTTTTTTTTTTAACTTGGCTTTTTATAATTTGCTTTGCCTCCCAAATATTGTTCGCCATTAGTATTTTCCTCTAGTTGTGCCATAAAAGTGGAAAGAGCTGTGTAGTCACCAATTCCTGTGAGAGGACTATAAACATACTGCTGAATCAGCACAGCTCAAAACTTGGAACCCTTAGACATGGGAGGATGGGAATTCTGGAATTTCACGCTACAGGTTGGATATTGTGTAAGCTTACCTTATGCTCTGCTGAGCAGTTGGAGATTCCTTTTTTAGTGTGATACTTGTCAGGTGTTCCCCAGTGCTGAACACAGGAATAATGTAGGCAGCATGCTATTATCCTCAGCTGCTATAAGCACAGATGTTCTACATCATAGATTTAAGGTCCACGAATTTTGTATAATTTTAGTAAAGGTATTCATTAAATATCTCTGATTTTATTTTTTGTACCTTTGTTGGACTTTTCATATAAATATTTGTGCCTGCACAAAGAAGAATTTGGGTAGACATATGTGCCCCCTCCTCTGGACTCCCACAACAGTTTGTTCACAGTATAACTTAGCTGTTTACAAGACTCCCCACCAGTACTTTGAGCTTGAGAGCATGGATGGCATATTTTAATCCTTCTGTTTCCTCAAGGGTCTAGAGCAACTAGGTGTTCATTAAATACTAGATGAACCATATTTGTTCATTGTTCCACAAATAAGTACTGATTACCTACTTAATGTTAGGTATGGTCTGAGATTCTGGGAAAAGAATATTAAGACATGCAAGGCCCCTGCACTCCTGTGTCTTACATACCAGTGTGGGGAAAAGACCAAAAAACAACAACATCTAGCAAAAAAGTTCAAAATGTGGTAAGTGCTATGAAAGGAGTATCACATTTGAGCCAGGTTATAGCAGAGGAGGGGAATTTGCTGACTACAAGTGGAAAGGTTACAATAGGTATAGGACAGTACAATAGGTATAGGATCAGTATTAACATAAACTGAATTCCAGGTGATGAGAATTTTTAAACGTTTAAAATACTCACTTTTACTGTTACAGTTTATCAGATCATTTCCTCAGTTAACAAATAGGCTGTGCTACAAAATTATAGGAATCTTTTCAAGCTAATTGATGGCTTTCTATAACATCAGAATAAAATCTTAACTCCTTGCCAAAGTCTGTAAACCTCTGCATTGTCTGGCTTTTCAAACTTTATTTTATCCCACTCTTTCATATGGTTTACTACTGCCCAGCCATAGTGATCCCAGAGGTATGAATAAGAAAGATAAGCTCACTCTTGGGTCAGGGCCTGTTCTCCCTTTCTTGGACTCTTCTTCCCCTTGCTCTTGGAATGGCTAGCTCCTTCTCTTCCTCTGAATTTGGTATAAATGCTTCGTCTTCATCGTCTTCAACCACCTTATCTAATAAAATGTGCACCCTCAACTATTTCCTGGCTCCATACCTTGTTTTCTCCATAGCGCCCATCACAGTGTGTAATGTTATTTGCTTGTTTACCTTCTTTTAGTTATTTTCCCATTGGACATGGGAGCTGGGACCATGTCTATATTGTTTACTGCACTCAGATATTGGTTGAATGTGTTTGAAACTTGGAATCCATTTTCTCATAAAAACTTAGGACTGGTGGCTAGGTTTCTAGGCTAACCAGCAATAATTTTAATTTCTTGCATTAATTTTTTAGTTCCTTATAGTGTGGGTAGAAGAATGACATTTTCTCCTTAACCTTTTGGGCACAAGCTTGACGTTAGATAAAAATCTCAAGTGGCTAAAGTAATTTTTGTAAAGTTTGTACCTCCTTTCCATATTCCCATCTCACATCCTTTTCCTCTTTCTCTCCATAGAGTCTGCTCTTCTGTTGTAGCAACCTACACTGTCCTGCTCCCTTGGTATGCTTGCTTTTCACTTGCTGAAATTCAGAAATGCCTCTTTTCTCCTGATACGGTTTTCGTGGCAATAGCCTCCTGGTCTCAGGTGATGGGAGGAAGGAAGAGTGGAGATGGATCTGTGGTAGTGACAGCAACCTCTGTGGCTACCTGTTGAAAGCAAAGTAGCTAACTATATATGTCAGTGGCAACATGTATCTGAATTTTTATTTGAAATCTTGTTACTAATAAGCTTCATGGAGACAGTGTTCCAAATTGAAATATTCTTTTTTTTAATGTATGAATTATATAATGACTAGATCTAGAAAGGTTTGTCAAAATGTAGATTTTTCTAAATGAGAAATAGAAGGAAAAAAAAATCTAGGTCAGAAGGGGAAAACACTTAGAAGGAAAGTATCAGTTTATCAGATAGTCCTGCCAAATGCTCAAACTTAAAACCATTAGGATCAGTTGCTTGTAGCTGTTCTGTGCCAAAAGCAGGCCAGCATCTTCAATATGTCACTTATTAACTATAGGAGAATGGAACACTGCAATAATAAAATATAAATTGAGTTGGCTAAACTTTTTAATACCATTTTAAGTGGAAATCTATAAGAGCTGATTGATTATAGCTCACCAAATATGAAAATACATCATTCAATTTGACTTTTGAAAATTTGGCTGCTTTATAGTACATTATTTTGGTGGTTATCAGTCTGTCATTTCATCTAAAATGATTTTGTAACCAGTTGTTTGACATTGTATAAATATTACTTTAAAACAGTTTTAATCAGTTGCTTTTGGTACAGTTGGGTGTGTGGAAGAATTCTTTGAAATAGTAGGAAATTAGCTTTCATTTGACTTGGCTTGAAAATTATTACAATATTTTTATTTCAGAGCACTTCAGTTAGTTAAATTGGGGTACTGATGATTCTTTATAGATTTTTGAAAATTTATTTAAGTCAGTTAATGACTACAATAACTATTCTCTAAACCAATTATTGAGATACATGATTGAGGTTTGGGATGCCACTTTAGATCATTCGTGACATTGAAATTTTGGAATTTGTTGTTTTTGGGAATAGAGAGAAGTCGTGGGCATATTTTGCTACCAGGTCCATTGTTGAGATGTCCTAGACCCTGTATCACATTCTGTGTTCCCACAGTGCAGCATTTCCGGGAATTTCATATTGTATTCTGGATAGCTTTCTGCCAGGTCAGAGTACACCTGTGTTGGTTCAATGCCACTACCCTTTTAGTTCTATTAAGATTTTCTTTTTTTTTTTTCCTTTTTTAATCCTTTTATGGCTTCTCTTCCTGCTCACTAACCATGAGTTTCCCACAAGGTTCTTTATTCTTTTCCTTTTCTCTTCATACTTAATGCCTTCAAGAAATTTTCTACTTTCTAGTCTTTAACTAGACTTTAGCTTCCAAGTTGAAAACTTGAAATTTCTGTCTCTTACCCAAACTCCAGTCATTTGATTTTGTCTAAAACATCTCTACTTAAAAGTTGCATGTATGTCTTTCCTACTCTCATCCCGAGATCCCCTCTCACCGACACCCGCCAAAAGCCAAAATAACAAACTGATTTTCCTTCCAAACTCTCCTTTTTGACAGTAGTACCACTAGTCTTTGACTATTGATTTCTTTTTTCTTATACTTATTTACCCCTCATATCTAATTTCTAAATACCTCCTCTTGATTCTTCCTTCTAAGTAGAAAGTACTTATAGATTTGACTGTCTTTCATATTTCCATTTTTACCACCCTACTGTAGGCCCTCACCACTTCATACCTTTGATATCACCATACTGATTTTTAAGTGTTAAACTTGTCATTGTTTTCTTACATTGGTTAATAACTTATGATAATTATGTTATTTCTGATCTTTTCGAAGTCAAGTGCAAGTACTTCAGGGGTTTAAGTTTTTTTATGAACAGTCATCACTTAATGCAGTTACAGTTTTTTCTTACGGCTTCAATTTATCAGGTCACTGCTAACATGTAAATAGTGTCCTCTTAAAGTTAATGTTAATGTAAAGTTAAAGTTAATGTAATTGTTGTTTATCCCCTCCTGGAATATCATTTATATCCCTTTCCACTAATAAGTTTTATCTTTTAATTTAAACAGAAACCTTGTGTTTGTTTGAACCTTACTTACCAGCTGTGTGAGTTTGGACAAGTTAATTAGCCTCTCCGTGCCTTGGTGTCACTTTCTGTAAAAATAGGGATAATTAATAGTCTTTACCTTCTGTGGTTGTTGAGAGGATTAGATGAGTTAATATATAAAACTTGCTTAAAGTGTTTAGTACATAGTAAGTGCTCAGTAAATATTAGCTATTCACATTAAATAAATATCTAGTTTAAGACCCATTTGATTCAAGTCATTCCTCCACTATTAAGACTAATTTGCTAGCTGTCTTTGGGTATGCCTTGGACCTCAGTTTCCATATATGTGAAATGATTAGGTCATTCCTAGGATTTTTTTTCGATTTATACTACTGAAAGCAGTGTGAGATAGAAACAAGAAGATCATGAGCTTCGAAGTCAGGTAAACTATAAGGTAACAGGAAGCATATTACTATTAAAATTCTTAATATTTTTCACTTAAAGGTGAGGTTATATAACTTCTTTTGGCTTAAATCATCAATAAGAATTAGAGGTAAAAACAGATCCCTGGTGTTCTGATCCCTGTTTAATATGTAATATTCTATTACCAGTTTGATTTTTTTGTTTAATTTACTGACATTGATATAAATAGTGGCTGATGAATATATCTTTTTTTTCCCCCCCAGGTAAAGACTATCCACAGAAAGCTATAAAACAAGATAAATTATACTCCCTAAATTAAAAAAAGGCAAGATCCATGAGTGGGCATCGGTCAACAAGGAGACGATGTGGAGATTCTCACCCGGAGTCCCCTCTGGGCTTTGGGCATATGAGTACTCCAGGGTGTGTATTAAATAAATTGTTTCAGTTACCTACACCACCATTGTCAAGACACCAACTTAAGCGGCTAGAAGAACACAGGTATCAGAGTGCTGGACGGTCCCTGCTTGAGCCCTTAATGCAAGGGTATTGGGAATGGCTAGTTGGAAGAGTTCCCTCCTGGATTGCCCCAAATCTCATCACGATCATTGGATTGTCAATAAACATCTGTACAACTGTTTTATTAGTCTTCTACTGTCCTACAGCTACAGAGCAGGTAAGAGGAATTTCTTTAATAACAGATATAAAATTTATTGCATGCCAGAAACCCTATAATTGGGATTTTTAGGTCATTTAACTAAAGGTAAGATAATCTGACAGCTATTTGTCAACTGTTTTAAAGTATCCTATCATATATATTGTTAATAAAGCTCATAGCTGCAACCTACTTTATATACACTATGCTTATGAGAAACCAGAAGCAAAGTGTGGACTCTGAAACCAGTAGATAAATTAATGTTAGTTGAGACTAACATGTAAAATATTCCTTTAAAATCAGTAAGTCTATTCTTTAAAAAAGAGTTCTATCCCATTTTTTAAAAAATGGCTAGTAAAGTCTTAGCAAAGTTTAAAATGATCAGAGAGGAAAGTCTGTGGTAGTAAGATGGCACAGCTATAAATCAGTCTTATCAAAAGTATTCTCTTGATTCCAGTAAGAGTTATTGAATATCCCTTTTACCTTCCTGTAAACATATGTGGCTGATAACCTCAGGAGTATCTCTCTTATTCTAAGAAGGCAAAAGAAGTGTAAGAAAGAAACAGTATAATGTATTTCCTGCTCTGGTATCCTGCTATGGCTGCCATTAAAAAAAGGGAAGCATGGTATTGCTTACAAAGACTCTCCCCGGGCCTTCTCAAATATAAGTCTCTCCACTGCTGTTCCCTCTTTTACTTTCTGTACTCACTTCTTAAAACCAAAACTGAAACTAGAGCCCTTCATCTGAATGGGTAAGTTGATGTTTAATTGATTTTAAAATGTTCTTGTCAAAAAGTGAACTGGGTAAATTGATGTTTAATTGATTTTAAAATGTTCTTGTCAAAAAGTGAACTAAGGTAGTTAGGTAGATGAAGGAGAATCAAAAACATTTATTGTTTCTGTATTAATCAGAATGATCAGCCACAGGTAAACCAAGAAGATAGAAGGTGATCCTCAACTAAAGCTGTTAAAAGTGACTGAACCATGTAAATCATAATGGCCACAACGTTCCTTGTCTTGTTTTAAGCTTGAAGTAATTTTTTTTAGTAGTCTTTTCAGATGATTTTTTGAGATAAAATTATCACCATTCAATCCTTTATACCTTTCTGTCTTCATTAATTCATTTGTTACCACATATAGCTCTTAAAGTAGCTATTGAGGGTCACAGTTACCTATAAAACATACTTTGTTTTTTGTCTTTTGCCAGATGTTTATTTTCCCCTCACAATTGAATACCTTTATCTTAATTCCTCTTTTACTATACAGGTACAGTTTATACAGATTGTATGGATATATTTCTGGTTTCCCCTCATTTTCTTAACTGTCTTGCTTTACATCAATCAATAAACTTAAAAATAAACACCAGTACAATTGTTTAAATATGCCCTGGGATTCTTTATCACATTCTTCGAGCTGTTTTACTCGTGGCTTACTTGAGGACCTGACATATGCTTCCAGAGGAATCTGGTCCAGATCTCACACATCTTTAGAGTTACAGAAGAACAGGGAACTGGGTTGGTTCCAGTTGAAGCCTTCTAAGTCCTAAACTAGTTCCAGGATGGGGATCAGGGAATGAGAGCAGGGTGGAGGGTAGCTTGGCCACGAATAGTCATTTATTCAACACCCAGAGTATACCAGGCACCATGTTCCCTATAATACTTTTCCTCATCCTCTCTTCTTAAGTGATTTGGAATTATTAGAGTAACCTTAGAATTAGTTAAATCTTTGGGGAAACTTCCAGAATAGGAACTACGCTAATCACAGAGAACTTTTCAGAATGCTGCTGGGAGGACTCAAGGTGGAATATGACTGTACAGTAATAATTCCCTGATTGATACATTCAGTGTATCAGGCTCTTAACCCAGCTGAGACCAGACTGGCTCCTGAATGAGAAGGCTTTCTTCTTAAAACACCTATGAGAGTTGTGAAATAATGGAGACAAGGAAGAAATATATAAATATTAGTTTAGTGTTCTACAGATTCACCGGAAGAAAGAAAAGTCCAAAGATAAGGCTTTGCTCTCTCTTATATATGTAATAACCATCTTGCTGTTTTCTAGGATTATGTATATACTAATACTTGAAGTTGTCTCTGTTCCAGATTAACACTTTTCCCCATTAAAATCCTAAAACCCCCAAGAAGTTCCTTGTTTTCTAGTCCCCTAAAGCAGTACTGTTCAATAGAAATTTCTGTGATGATGGTAGTGTTCTGTGTCTGTGTTGTCTGATACGGAGGCCATAGATACTTCTGGCTATTGAACACTTGAAATGTACCTAGCAACTGAGGAACTGAATTTTTGGTTTTATTTAATTTTAATGAATTTAAACTAAAATAATCACAGATGGCTGGCTAATGGCCATTATATAGGACAGCTCTAGAGAGTTACTGGATTCCTCTAAGAGTAAGAAGCAGTAGACCCAAAGTCTAGAAAGGTAGAGTTCTTAGTCACATAAGATAAATCACTTAGTCCAGTGTGCTGGCATGTAAACTATGGTTACATAACCACAGTTATTGTTTTCCAGGTTTGTAACTCGAGCCTGGGGGAGGTATGTACGATGATCCTTTTAGCAACCTCAGTGTTTTAAAATATGAGATTCCAAGAAAACGTTTAAGAGAAGATCTTTACCTTTAATAACTGAGATCTAAATAGACCTCTGTCAGAGAGATACCTCTTTGCAGTGCAGAATATACTGAATATTTTTTGCAGCTCTGAGTAGTTTTAATTTGCAGGCCTGAGCATTTAATACAGTTAACTTGATAACCAATATCTGAGAAATATCTTGTGGTTATAAAATTTTTTTCATGGCCTGGTTATGGGAAAATAGTAAAAAGTGATGCAAAACACTGACACATTCTTACGGAGAACAGACCAAATAGAAGCTCTCCTTTATTTATTTATTTATTTATTTATTTTATTTGTTTTTGGCTGCATTGGGTCTCTTGCTGCACACAGGCTTTCTCTAGTTGCAGCGAGTGGGGGCTACTCCTCATTGTGGTGCGCGGGCTTCTTGTTGTGGTGGCTTCTCTTGTTGTGCAGTACAGGCTCTAGGCGCACGGGCTTCAGTAGTTGTGGCAGGCGGGCTCAGTAGTTGTGGCCTGCGGGCTCTAGAGCGCAGACTCAGTAGTTGTGGCGCATGGGCTTATTTGTTGCTCCGCGGCATGTGGGATCTTCCCAGACCAGGGCTCGAATCCGTGTCCCCTGCATTGGCAGGCAGATTCTTTACCACTGCACCACCAGGGAAGTCCCAAAGCTCTCCTTTTTTAATTCATTACATTTAAATTCAGTATTAGTGGTTCAGTTTCTGTCTGGGAAAAGAGAAACCATTCCTTGAAAATGTGACCATAAATATTTGAAAAATAATATAAGCACCCTGTTTAGTAAGTAGATCATTATTTTCCTAGTGTTGTTTCATGGAACATTGAAGAGATGCCTAGAGCCCGTGCTCCGCAACAAGGGAAGCCACCGCAATGAGAAGCCTGCACACCACGACAAAGAGTAGTTCCCACATGCCGCAACTAGGGAAAGCCCGCCCACAGCAACGAAGACCCAACACAGCCAAAAATTAAAAAAATAAAAATAAATAAAATAAATAAATTTATAAAAAATAATAAATAAGTTACATGCTCAAATAAGTTTGGGAAATGGCAGCATGTTGTATCCCCCTTGAATATGCACAATATGCATTAGTGAATAGTCACAATATGCATTAGCAATCTTAAGGGCTGGAAGAAGTCCAGCAATTAAGAAATCTGTTTAACATTGTTTAATCCAATGTTTCCCAAGTGAGTTTAGCATGAAAGTTTTATTTTCATGTAATACCTATAAGCGTCTTGAAAGATACAATTTGGGAAAAACTGTACTGGGTTATTCATTAATTGATTCTTAGAATCTAAATGTTAGGAGAGATCTTATAGAAGTTACCTAGCCTAATCTCTCATGGGATTTCTGTATTATCTCTGTGAAGTAGTTATCCAGCATCTGTTTGAGAACCCCTACAAAGCAAGGAATTTTAATTCTCTTATAATTCTGATTGCTTACGGAAGTTTTTCATTATGTAGCACCTGGATCTTCTCTCCCATAGCCTCCAACTTCTCTGAAAAATGAAGATAAAATATCTGCAAGTAAAAATGTATTAGCCAGATATAGTAATTAATATGTCTTATTACTCTTGCTTTTCTTATTTTATTTCACAGGCACCTCTGTGGGCGTATATTGCTTGTGCATGTGGCCTTTTCATTTACCAGTCTTTGGATGCTATAGATGGGAAACAGGCAAGAAGAACCAATAGCAGTTCTCCTTTGGGGGAACTTTTTGATCATGGGTGTGATTCACTATCAACAGGTATTGTTGATTTTTTAATATTAATGATTAACAGAGTTAAAAGGAATATGATAAACAGTGATAATAAGATAAATAAGAGGTTCCTGGTGTTATAATAGTTATCAGAGTAAGTGGTTTTTTGTATTACAAGTTTTAGTATTTTCAAAAATATAAATCTGGTTAATATTTGTTCATTATTTGGTGGTATTGGGAAATTTAGAAATTAATTTCTACTTAAGTTATTTTTAACCCTAAATATTATTGTTTTGACACCTGTTGTTTTGAAATTCTAAGGGCATAATTGTTATCATGGAAAAATCTCATAAATTATAGATGAGAGTTCAATAATGCGAGACTAGGAATTTGTAGTCTTTATATTTAAATGGATGTTATGTAGACATTTAAAATTACGTTGTAGACTTGGAGTATAACTGTGATAATGGGCTTGGATGAAAAGACTAGAAAAAAATACACTAAGGTGCTAGCAATAGATAAGTTACTATAATTAGATTATATGTGTTATATCTTTATTTGTACTATTAAAAAATAATATTTCAGTAGTTTTTAGAGGGAAAAAAGAAATTTAGAAATTAAGTGACAGTTTCTAACTAGTCTTCCTTTGAAGAAATCCCCTCACCCTGACTTCCCACCCACCCCCCGACACACACACACTTATTTTTTATTTAGCAGCTCAATTGGTTTCTTGTCATTTGGCATAGCATTTAAAATATTTTAAAAGAAGCAAACAAAAACCCTTGATGGTTTTACCTTGTGAACTCAGATTCACATACGTAGGTGTATGTTAAAATCATTGTTTCAGTGTATCCTGACAGCAGCTTGCTTAGTATAGGGGAAGGAACAGCTAAGCTCTTATAAAGGCTAGTTGGGCATCTTGAAAGGCTATTATAATTTAATTAGTTGGCAGCAGAATGATAGGTGTCCTGTTTTTTAAGTGATAGTCATTTTTGCATTAGTAGTTTGAGTTCCAGACTTTTATAGGAAGTCTTTTTTTTTGTAATGTGTATTACCCATAATGAAATATGCTAAATAAGAAAAGACAACTATTTATCTAAAGCTAATAGGTCCCTTTGTGAATTATCTAGGCCTTTTGTTTTTCTTTCATTTTGACCTTCTGCCTTGTAATTTTTCACTGCTAACTGGTACTATAGAGTTGGGGGAATACAGACATACCTCAGAGATATTGTGGGTTCGGTTCCAGACCACTGCAATAAATATTGCAATAAAGCGAGACACACAAATTTTTTTGGTTTCCCAGTGTATATAAATGATATTTTTACACTACACTTTAGCCTATTAACTGTGCAGTAGCATTATGTCTGAAAAAACAATGTACATACCTTAATTAAAAAATATTGCTAAAAAAATGCTATCATCTGAGCCTTCAGCAAGTTGTAATCTTTCTGCAGTAGTAACATCAAAGATCACTGATCAGAAATCATCATGACAAATATAATAATAATGAAAAAAGTTTGAAATATTTTAAGAATTACCGAAATGTGACACAGAGATAACTAAGTGAACAAATGCTGTTGGAAAAAAAAGGCACTGATAGACATGCTCGATGCAGGGTTGCCATAAACCTTTAACTGGTAAAAAAAAAAAAAAAAAAAAAAAAGACAGTATCTGGAAGCATAGTATCTGCAAAGTGTAATAAAATGAGATATGCCTGGACTCCAAAAAATGCTAAAGTATTTTAGTTGCTTTCAAGAAGTTTGGTTCCACTAAGTGGTGTAGTGAAAGAAGAGATCGAAATTACAGGGTAAATAATAATGTAAAAGATTATATCCTACTTTCCTGTTTGCATAGATAACTGAGAGAAGATTGTACGTTCACAGCATGTTTTCTTTTTGCCTCGTGTAAAATCATTTCCAGCTCAGTTAATGTTTGTTATTCAGATTTTTCAGTTTTCATTGTGATCTTTCTTTTTCAGTTTTCGTGGTTCTTGGAACTTGTATTGCAGTGCAACTGGGGACAAACCCTGACTGGATGTTTTTTTGTTGTTTTGCTGGGACATTCATGTTCTATTGTGCACATTGGCAAACATATGTTTCTGGAACATTGCGATTTGGAATGTAAGTAACACTTAATGGTGATTTTGTTTTCTCTTTCAAATATGTAGAATGTTGCTTATAGGTATTTGAGTATTAGGACTTGATTAAATCACTAGTTCAGTAAATAAAAGACGTTTAAAGCTCTCATTATTTTAGCTACTATGTAACGGTCTCAATCATGTGTCCTTCTGTCACACTTTTTAAAAGAAGGAAATATTAGAACCTCCCAACCAATATTTTTAAAGTAACATGAAAAACAGTAGGCCCTTCACTCATATCCACTGTATTTCCCTCAGACAAATTCATTTTTCTTTTTCCCCACTGTTATTCACCTTAACACTATGTTTTACTTTGACACATGAAAATGTATTTTCAGGAAAGAAAAGATAGTTTATGAAAGCAAAGAGCAACTCTTATCTCTAAATATCATAGCTTAATTAGATTTTATTCTTTTCACATCGTTTTATTTATGAATCTATAAATATCTAAGCTCTTAATAATTTAGTGGATATGAGCACACCATGTAGATTACTACTGCCAACAAAATGCCTAACAATTTAAAAAATGAAATAGAAACTTTCTTCAAACTCCGAAGTGAATAGTTCCTACCTGGTGATTAGTACTTTTCCGTAAATATTAATGAGTAAACCAGTCTTGGAACAATGTTAAGGATGGAATTCACCAACTGGTGTTTAATTAAGTATCACAGATCCTATTTACACTACTCAAGTTAGTCTTTTATTTTTTTCACGGTGTAGGATTAAAAGATAACTTGAGAAAAGACTCTGAAAACTTCATGGAATATCAAAATAAAAATCTTGATGTCAAATTATAGGAGAATATCTTAACCTAATTTCTCATTAAGGCAAATGATTAATGAATTTTAAAATTTTAGATCACTGATAATCAACTTAGTTTTCTAGGCCTTGAAAAAGCCAGAATGCATAGAAATTTTTAGCTGTTCCCTACAAGTTCACTTCAGGTGATTTTTGCTAACCTTATTTAAATAGAATTTTAAGATGTTCTTATGACAGTAAATGAATAATTATTAATACTTTGGATGTTAACTAAAAGACATGTCTTGGAAGAATTTAAAAATAAAAGGATTTAGAGAACATGTTTAAGGCACGTCTCAAGTGACAGTAGTGGACATGAGTGTCCAGTTGAAAACTGTATGTCTGTGCATTCATCAGCAGTTTATAAAATGATCTATGCTCAGAAAATATTGAAGATATCTGATATTAGAAAAGAGCAGTAATCGAAAATATTATATGCAGATGTTTTCCCTCAATATTTGCATAGCCTTTACGTTATCTCAGTAATGTTTTCATAGTTTTTTTTCTGCTTTAGGTAAAAACCACAAATTATGATAGACTTCTAGGATCACTTGGTTTGTCCTAATTCAGTTTTAATTGTTTGTGATGTTACTGTTTTCAAAAATAGCAGAATTTGTAGTATCTGTTTTTCACATAGTTTATGTTTCATTGGTTATGATCTCACAGTTAACTTTCAAACCCTTATTTTGAAAGCTTATCTAGCCCTAATTTATTTTCTTTCCCTTTCAAGTAAAGCAGCACCAGCTACATGGTGTAGGAACTGAAGGAAGGAAAGAAAATGAACCGTGGAAGCAAGGGAAGAGTTAAATAGACAGTGTTTTTAGCAGTGATTTGCTATCACAACTTTCTTTTTGCCGGTCTTAAAATTTCCCTTGCAGTGTTTTCCTTTGATGAAATATATACTTGAAGAACTGAAAGCAGTTCTATATTGTTAAATCATAAGATGCTTATAGGGGTGTGGCAGGAGATAAGGCTGGAGAAGATCCAGAAAATTGAGGGCCTTCTATGTCCTGCCAAGAACTGAGGGCTTTTTATCCTGAATCTATTGAGAACCTTTGCAGGACCTAAAGCAGGGAAATGACAAAAGTACCTTTTGGAAATATCAGTCTGGCAACAATTTGGAGGGTGAATTGGAGTGGGCTGTGACAGAAGTAAGAAGATCCCTTAGGAGGCATCAGCATAATTAAATGTAAGGAACAATGAAATCTGAACTAGAACAATGACAGTTCTATCGAAGAGAAAGGGATAGGTTGGAGAGAGACTTAAGAGGTAGAAACTGTCTGTAGTCTGTATTTGGTTATGGAGAATGAATGAGAGAGCAGAGACTGGAATGACTCCCAGTTCCTCTCCTTGGGTGGTTGGATGGAAGGTGGAGAAATGCCCTGCAGGGAGAGGAACCTATTCAAAGGAATAGTTTTATCTAGAACACGTATGTGAGGGATTTTAGACATCCAAATAGAATGAGAATAGCAGAAAACATAGAGAGCAAGCCTAGAAAGAAGCCCATGAAAATTATTGAACAGCCAGAGTAGGAGGAGGCATACCAGAATGAAAAGTCAGTAGAGGGATGAATTTCAAAAGAGAACAATGCTAAGTGCTGCCAAGACTCAAAATGAGGCCAGACTGTAGGGAACAGAAGTGAACAAAATAAATAAGCACACAGTTAATACAGGTTACTTATAAAATGTGTAGCTGGGATGGGAAGGAGCAAGGTAACAGAGGAGCAAACATGGGCTCAAAGGAAGACGGGGTTTGTTTTTTTAATGGGAAAATTTTGAACATACAGAAGAAACTGAGAAAAGAGATTGAAGACACCTGAAGAAAGCGGGGGGTGATTTATCGAACTTAGACTGCTAAAAATGCAGGACCCAAAGGAGTAGAGTATGAGGCAGTTTGGACTAGATTAGGAGCACACTCTCCCCCTGAGACTGTAGTGCTTCCTTATAATGGTATGAAAAAATATCTAGAAATACCGAGACCATTTGGACTTAATTTCTCAGTTTAAATTAAATACGTGTATTGTAAAGGATTTTTAAAAAATCGACTTTATTTATTTATTTATTTGTTTAAATTGGTCGCAGCTTGTGGAATCTTAGTTCCCCGACAAGGGACCGAACATGCGCCCTTGGCAGTGAAAGCATGGAGTCTTAACCACTGGACCTCCAAGGAATTCCCTAAGGGATTGGTTTTGATTTGGGAAAACTGTATACAATTTTCTGAAATCTTGCATACACATTAAAGCAACACCGAATTTAGTTATTTTTAAAATTAAAAGCAAGCTACAACCTTCATAGAAATATACTGCAAGTGCTTTACATTTAAGGAAATATTTATCAGAATACCAATGTAATGGAAGCATATAGAATAATATAGATATTTCTAAAGTAGTTTTAAAAATACCATTTTAGATTTCACTTTTTTATTTTTTTATTTATTTTTTTTTTTTGCGGTACGCGGGTCTCTCACTGTTGTGGCCTCTCCCGCTGCAGAGCACAGGCTCCGGACGCGCAGGCTCAGTGGCCATGGCTCAGGTCCAGCCGCTCTGCGGCATGTGGGATCTTCCCGGACTGGGGCATGAACCCGTGTCCCCTGCATCGGCAGGCGGACTCTCAACCACTGTGCCACCAGGAAGCCCCAGATTTCACATATTTTTTTTTTTAAAAGCAGATATAATAGGCAGATGTATAGTAGCTTAAATATTGAAGTAAAGTTTATATGTGTGGAAGAGAAAGTCCAAATTTTATTTATTTAATTAGGAAAGGTCAATTCTCAAATATAATTTGAGAAAAGAAATTTTTAAAAATCACTTGCGTTTTCTTCCTCCTTAGGGGAAAGCAGCCTTAGGCATCTTGGGAATTTTATTTTAAAACATTTTTATTTTAATTGTTTTATTTTGATATTTATACACGAGTGACAAAAAAATCATGAGGTTTCTTTAATATATATATAATAAATCCAGGTTGTTATATGTTTAATAACCTTATAAAATAGTATATTTACCAAAGAAGAAATTTTGTTTGTTTTTCTTAGTCTCCTAGTGTCCCTATTTTTAGTTTTTAAGTGTGCTTGCACAAAAATTGGCATAATAATTTATCCATAACTAAATAATTTTCATTCACAGTCAGGTATTGTGAAAAAACCAATGTGATTTGGATACTTCTTCCCTGAAAGTATGAGCTAGCTATATCTTTGTTCTGATTACTAAAATCTGATTTGCTAAAAGCTGCCTTGCACAGAGAATATCAGTACCTGTCACAGCTAGACAGACCTCTGTCCTGACAGTGCTTCTGGACTGAGTAAGTAGAGAGCTGATGGAGATAGTACTGCTCATGGGGACCTTCCAGACCCAGCTTAGACCTTTAGGATTTTTACTAGCCTGGATATGAAAAACTGAGGGAGGGATATGTGCTTAGAGGCTAGAACTGCATAGAAGGATTGGGTTAGTGGAAGAAGAGAAGAATTACGAGTTGAAGCTCATTTGTAAACGTTTGTAAAATATTCTTTTAATGTTTATGGATTATATTAAATGGAAGAGTTCACATTTCTTAAGATCTAAACCCTCTGTATCCAGATACTTTTAAATATATAACTTGTAGATGTATGTATAGAATCATTTTTATAAATTAAATCTTTAGAAACCCTAAACAATCTATAATAAGACTACATTTCTGTAAGACATAGGTCTTAAAAAATCTTACACACTGTGAAAGGTAAAACTCTTAAGTTATCGTTTCAGAAAAAAAATACTCTTGTTATCTTTTTGGGAGAGAATAAAAGAAAGGAATTATAATAGATTGAACTCAGGCCAGTGTGTCTTGCCTCACGTGTTATCTCCAAATTATCTGTATATCCGTTTGGGCAAGGCCCATGACTTTTGTGGGCCTCATTTCCCAATTTGTAATGTAAGAGTTTTGGATTACATGATATCTAAGATTCCTTCTGAGAGTCTGTTACTTTTATAGATATTATTTCTAGTGTGCTTATTATTTATAGTTATAGCAGGCAGAGTATCTTCACTTTATGACATTTTTCAATTCATGCATCTAGGGTTTCACATTTACATTAGCTAAAAAGCTTGCCACCAACATTTATTCCTCTCTAAGTAAATAACTTCTGGCTTTTTCTTTTCTGTAGTTAATTGAAAAAAGTTAATAGGCTGTGTATTTACTAGTAGTGTGACAAATC